CCAGCCCGGCAGGGCGCCGGTCCTGGGATTCCGAAGCCGCCTTTCGCTCCCTCCTCTTGCTATTTGCAAAAGAATCCAGCTGCGCGGCTGTTTGCCGGCTTCCAGCACCCCCTCCCCTCCTCGTTTCCCCACCTCCGTCTCCTGGGACGGTCTTGTCTTTTTTTCCCCCCACGCCAAGGGGGTGGGGTAGGTGGTGGGATTGAAGTTAGTGAGAAATCCACGCCACGGGTGAAAAAAGAAAATAAAAAGGTTGACAAAAGTGGGAACCGAAGGATGCGCTTGTAAAATAGAAAAAAACTTAAAAAAGAAAGAAAAGCGACCTATCCGTCTTTTATCTGTCTTTCTATCACTGTACCTCTCATCTCCCCTATCTAAATAAACAAGGCAGGGCGCAGTGGAAATCCACTGGATGAAATCGTGTGGGTTTCAAGCAAGTGGCAGGGCGTGCAGTCAGGCAGCGGGGCAGACACGCAGCAGCTCCCAGCGCCCGGGCTGGGTTTACTTTGCAAAGCCAGAGCGAGCGCGCGCGGCCCAGGTACGGTGTTGCCGGGGTGGCCCGCCCAGGTCCCCGCGCTGTTGCAGGGGAGGTCGGCTCGCTGCTTCCTCGCCTCGCGCGGACTCGTCCCCGCCGTTCTTTCTGTCTCCCGTGCCTGGGTCGCCGTTGCATTTTTTTTCCTTTTTCTTTTCTCTTTTTAAAAATAAAAATTGCGATAGAAATAAAAGATCCTCTGAGTGCCATCGACACCGCAGGCTGATCGTACCCTGCTGTCCTCCGCGCACCTCTTAGGGCTGGGGCCGGCTCCGGGCGCTAGAGCTGGAGAGGCTGCGCGCCCAGCCGCCTGCGAGGACTGGCTGCCGGCGGCCCGAGAGCCGAATATTTATGTTATATTTTTAAAAATTTAAATAAATAAATAAATAAATATATAAAGGGGTTCTCTCCTCCCCTGAAAACACAGTATAGGAGCCATCTGCTCTGGAGCGATCGCAGTTACCACCTCTCTCCTTTGTTACAGCAGATACATTTGTAAGAATTTGTGGGTTTCTTGTTATTATTTGGGGAGGGAGGAATAGATAGTAAAGTGGGGTCCTGGGGGTAAGGGAGGCCTTTTCAGAGGGAGGGAAGAGCACTTTTATTTTTTGATATTGCAACATCAAAGGAGACTTGCTGGTTGCATTTAAAACAAAATGTTTTGCAACCAGATTGGAGCCTGGTTTGATTAAGGTCCCTTTCGCCAGTTGACATTTTGTTCCTTCACCAAGCCACAGCCAGCGATCATTCCTGCCACTCTTTTAGATGGGGTGGCTGTGAAAGTGCCTATGCTAGCAGACACCTAATTTCTCCAGCAGGCCATTTGCCTCACGGAGCCTCCTTGTAATTGCAAGGGTTGTTTTTGAGGAGGGGGTAGTGGAGGGGTCCTGGAAGGGGGAGATGTTGGGGGTGCATTGCCAAGGTGGCAGCTGCTGCAGGAGTGAGGAAGAGCGGCTGCAGTTGTAAGGGGACAGAGGCAGGTAGGTTTGCTCAGCCTTAGCGGTCCCCTCTCCTGGCATCCCTAGGACATCAGGAGAAAGCTCTGGCCAGAAGCACTGGTGGCAGCTGGGCATGGGGGCGAGGGGTGCCTGGTGCAATCTCCTTCCATGCTGCGTTTGTTCCCTGCCTCTCAGCCTCTCTCTGAGCCTCGGGGAAAGCCAGCTGACACTGGGGAAGTGTTGAGGAGGGAAGGCAGAGAGATGCAGGGAGAGTGCGGGGGGGGGGGGGCAATCCTGCCTGTTTTCCAGGGGCAGAGGAGACAGGAGACTGGGTTTGTGCAGGGGTTGAAGCAGGGATAGTGGTCCAACCAGTTCTCAGACAAGGCGACCTCTTATCCCCAGGCAGCTGGCTCTTTGGCCTGTCCTGTGTATCCCCAGGTGGTGCAGCAGACAGGGAAAAGGCAGCAGTGGGGCTGCGTTTGAGGCCACAGGGCCTGGGAAGGTGTCTGTCTGCAGATGAGGCAGCAGCCTTGGGTCTGGAGTGTGTGGAGCCCTGGCTAGCAAAACAGGTGCTGCCTGTCACAGGCCCCATGCTGGGTTCACATTCGTGATTTTACATGTGGGAGAAGCCACCTAAAAGGTGAATGGCATCGTTATCAGTAGGGCAGCAGCCTGCAGGCCTGTGGGGTAGCAGTCTCTGGTTCTTACGGATGATGCAATTTAGAATCGCCCATGACCTGGGAAACCGGGAGGGGACACAAATAGCAGCTGTGAACTTGGGGGGGGGGTGCACCATGGTGAGCTAGTTAAATTCACAGGCAGGGCCTGGGAGAAGAGGGATGAGGTAAAAAGAGACTAGGAGACAGAAAACCTGGGCTTCTGGTTTGTTTCAAAATGTTTGACCCAGCTGGATGTGGCTTTTAAAACCAAAGGACAGATAACAGCTATTACTAAAAACAAACACAACAACACAACAGTCAGGTCCTCGTGAAAAGGGAGGCAAGGGGGGCAGCGGCTGACCAGGCAGAAGAAGAGCCGGGAGCTCCAGAACCAGACAGGGCTGGAGTGAAGGGGAAAGATGCTGCCAAGCCGTGGCAAGACACGAGGTTCCCAGAGAAAATAAGATACCCACGGCCCATCATCACACAGCCCCACATGGAGGTGATTTTTCTACAACCCACCAACAGGTTTCTTTGGGAGGTTGGTGGTTTTCTGTATGAATTCGTGATTTTGCAAAAGCAGCCAGTAGACCCAGGGTTGGACGCGGAAGTTGGGCTGTGTTGATTCCGTCGTTGCCTCTCAAATTAGGTTTTGTAGTCTCTGTATGTTGCGAAGGTGGCTGTGCTCACAATTACCTTAACTCCCTGGGGTCTAGTGTGTCTCCAATGGTCCACTTATCTTTCAGAATTAGGCCTCTGATAAATTTCCTAAGGCAGAGGCCCGCTTTTTCTTTCTTTCTTCTTTTGGTAGTTGGTGGGGGCAGTGAAGTTTGTCTCCCTTCTGCACAGAAGGGAACCCCCATATCATTAGAAGTGTGATATGTCAGCTGCTTCGATTCCACGGGAGAATAAAAATGTGTTCATCAAAGGTGTTATGCCAGGCTGATTTTATTCATTTGTAATTCACACCTGAGAGAAAACAGCCGCGAGCATATTTTAACAACCCCTAATATTTTTAAAGGGTATATTTTTGCCTACCTGAAGATTTGTACATATGCATATTTGTTCTTTGGAGCGGGGAGGAGGTTGCTGTCTGCCCGTGTCAAGGCCTTGGCGATTTATGTCTGGCCGTCAAAATATTTAGAGATAGAGAACGAATCGTTTCAACCGCCTTGGGTAAATTCAGTTGCTTCTTACAACCACGGGGTGGGGCCGGGGTTAAAGTGTTGGGTGAGATTAATGGTGCAGGGGAGGGAAGGCCAACTTTGGGTGCATTTGACAATAATTAGAAGGATGTCCAGGCGACGCCGGGATGCAGTGCGGTCACGAATCCCAGGTTCTGGGTGCTGCTCACCCCTCGCTAGAGTCGAAACAGAACTGAGCTCCTGCACCATCTGGGGATTTAGAACCGACTTGTGCCTGCTTTCGAGTGTACACTTTCCATCTCCTATCTCGATGGCTTTGCTTTCCCCGCTGGCTGCTTGCTGTGATAAAATACTTTCCAAAATAAACTTTCAGTGGCGTTGGCTGGGCTGGACCGCCAGCCTGCAGCGCAGCCCGCCGGGCGCGCTGGGCGCTA